CACACACACACACACACACACACACACACACAGAAACAAAGAGGTCAGAGGTTGAATCTAATCTGGATTTGAAAAGATCAACATTCCTGCTGTTACACTCACAAGACTAACAGTGTGTGTGTGTGTGTGTGTGTGTGTGTGTGTCTCACCCCGACAGTCTTTGGCGTGCACGGCATCTCCATAGTAACCAGGCTGACAGACCTCACAGTGTCTACCAGTCGTGTTACCAAGGCAACGCAGACACTCCCCAGTGATGATGTCACAGTGTCCCATCTCGTTGACGTCCACGTTACTGTTACAGTCACATCGAACACAGGCCCCGCCCACCATCTGTGGGTTACCATAGTAACCACTGGCACACCTGGAGACACAACTGCAGGTGATACACTCGCTCCACAATCACAACCTCTGACCCGTCATGACCTCTGACCCGTCAGTCCTCACCTCTCACAGTTTGACCCCGTGTATCCGTCCTGACACTGGTCACATGACACCTGACCTGACGACTCCAACATGCAGGTGGGACTGAAACTGACTCACACACACACACACACACACACACATTTAAATCATTTACAATATTAATATAATGTTTACACTCACATTGTAAAATACATTTCTGAACCTACTAAAGCTTTTGTTTGAAGACTCACCTGTTGGACGGCTCAGTCAGAGGACACGGACACAGCCGACAGTCATTGGTTGTCCCCTCTGTGGGGTCGCCATAGAAACCAGAGAGACACTGATCACAGTGAGGACCTGTGGTGTTGTGAGTACAACCCTGAGAGACAGACAGGTCAGAGTGAGACAGACAGGTCAGAGTGAGGTCAGAGTGAGACAGACAGGTCAGAGTGAGACAGACAGGTCAGAGTGAGACAGACAGGTCAGAGTGAGGTCAGAGTGAGACAGACAGGTCGAGAAACATAACTGCACTTCAAAAAAGTTTTTGTTCTGTCAAACTTTATTGAAAATTGTTTCTCATTGAAGTTTATTTACTTTCATACATTTTTTGTTGGGTGGTTTTGTTTACACTCACCAAACAAACTCCGTTGATGTCGCACTCGGTCGCGTGGTCGTTACACTCGCACTGCATACAGTTCCCTCCAAACAAGACTCCGCCCACTCTGTAGAAACCTGTGAGACATGTCTGAAACACACAAACAGCACACGTGACACATACATGTTATATTACGCTGGTTATTATCCTTCAAAACTTTCAGTCAAACTAACAATAATAAATGTAATGAAGATATTTAATAACCAACCTCACAGGAAGTGCCGCTGTAGCCCCACGGACATTCACATGTCTCCACGGCAACGGCCTGAATGCCAGAGACTGATCCAGAGTCTGCGACGTCCAGAGACACTGACCGGAGACTGAAGAACCGAGACATTACATTCACATGACGAACTTTAACAAACTGACCACCAGGAGTCACTGCAGAGCTGTGAACCACGTCAGTGGCCTCAACCTAGGTTCAGTAACTTTAACTGATTTCATAACATGTAATCAGATTACTCTGTTCGATGTAATCAGATTACTCTGTTCGATGTAATCAGATTACTCTGTTCGATGTAATCAGATTACTTTCCCTCACCGGATCGGCCCGTTGGCAGAGTTGTTCAGGTGAACTCTGACCGTCAGTGACGTCACGTGGTAGAGGACTGACAGCAGGTCGTCACGGGAAACTGCATCACTCGTCTGATCGTCCACGAACTTCTGAGGGACCATTGCCATGGAAACGGAGTCCTCGGCCAGTGGAGAGAGTAGGAGGACGAGGGGGGGTGAGAGACGAAGAGTCTGGCCGTTACCCTGGAGACGAGACAGAGAATCAGTTCAGTCTGGGTGTTGGACTTCTTTAAGATGCCATGACTGTAGTTTCTATCTGAAACTTTATCAGAAAGACAGACAGACAGACAGAGAGACAGACAGAGAGACAGAAAGACAGACAGACAGACAGAGAGACAGACAGAGAGACAGAAAGACAGACAGACAGACAGAGAGACAGACAGAGAGAGAGACAGAAAGAAAGACAGACAGACAGACAGAGAGAGACAGAGAGAGAGACAGTGAGACAGAAAAACAGACAGACAGACAGACAGACAGAAATACAGACAGACAGACAGACAGAGAGAGAGAGAGACAGTGA